GGCATCAATTAGGGTCTCAGGAGGTTTGCTGTCCTCCAACATGACCCTGGGCAGTCTGGGGGTTATATTGGTTAACCCTGGACAAGCTTTTGCCTGTGAGCATTTCTCTGGTAGCTCTCTGACAAATGCTTTTGACCGACTTCCTCCTGGTTTCTTGGGTCACTGAGTCTATGGCACTTCCTGTCCTATGGTTCTGAATATTCCCTCTGCCACAGCCACTTGCGGGGGAGTGCACGGGGCAGGAGGAGGCCTCCATTTCCTCTACCTGGGCCATATGACACAGGACTTGAGAAATGGTCAGCTGGGATATAGATTGCTTTTATTTCCATGGCATAAACATGTCTCTGTACCCCAACGTAACTTCTACACCCTCTCAAATACAAACTCCCCTGGCAGCCAAATCACAAAGAAATAAAAGCATGGACTTCATTTGTTTTGCTGCTGCACTTTGGCTTATGTTAAGGGCCTAGGCTTGATTTGCATTTATTTTCCTTTGAGCACAGGAGAAATGCTCATTCTCAGGAAATGCAGTTTGGGGGTTTTGAGCCACTTTCTGGAGCAAAAATGATTTTCTGCACCAAGGATAAAAACATATGAAGAATTCTTCAAATGGAGCTCTGGGCCTCTAGAATAAAGATGTCTTGCATGTCATCATCAAAAAGCAAGAGACCCAGGACAGCAGGACATCATATGGTTGAAAAATCTCAGTCATGTAGCAAATGAGAAAAAGACACTAGGGTGCCACTCCATTTCAGATGAAAGTCAGAATCTCTTCTTTACTGGGTGTCACTCACAAATTCTGAACAGCATCAGTTTGCATTCTTATGCAAGCACCGTGTTTTACCACAATTTTTACAGGACTTTGTAGATTTCTCTACCAGGCTAGGTGTCACTTTCTTAAGTCTGTCACCAACCTGAAAACCTCTTTATGTTCTTTGAGGATAAAGGGCTTTATTTTGAGATCAAAATAAATGAGTAATGTTGCTCAATCTTCATTCCAGTGAAGAAATACCGGGCTTGGGATGCAAGGACCATACTTGGGATGCAACTTGAATTCATTCAAGATAGGAGTTACCCAGTAAAGCATTTAGAACTTTATCAGTTGTTTTTTTTTTTTCCTCCCAAATTTTGTCCTCCATATCAAATGTTTTAGGATAAATATGCTTATGTGTAAAGCCCTACTTTTAAGTACAGAACTTATTTTTATTATTAAATGCATAACATCAAAAATAGTCATTAACTGAAAAACATGCTAATATTACATTCAAACATCTTCTATTATATAGACTATAAAAATCTATAGAGGAAGAAACACTTTTCTTTCTACTTGCAGCCACAGAGTAATTTCTATTCCCATGGAATTAAACAAGGATTCTCTCTCTCTCGTAGTGTGAAATTAAGAAAAAAATTCAGTGGTCTCAAAGGCAGATTTCACGAAGTCTGACACACTATTATTTTTATGTGATCCTGCTTTCAAGAAAAACAACATAGAGAAGCAATCTCAGAAGTCTGAAAGTCAGTGTTAAGGATAGTTCTGTTATGATACACGCTTGGTGTCCTAGAAAAACCACAGTGTTCTACAACAAAAATCTGTGTCATGACAATGTTATAGGACTGTCCTGTGCAATGTGGTAGCCACATGTGTTGGTTTCAGTTAAAATTTAAATTAATTAAAATAATGTAGAATTAAAGATCTAGTCCATCAGTCTTACCCGTTCAAACATTCAACAATCGCTTATGGCTACTGACTACCACACCGCTGAACACAAGCAACTTTTCAACACTGCAGAAAGTTCTATCAGACAGCTCTGTTGTAGAGTCTAGTCTTGTACAAATTACCTGTTAAGTGAATGACTCAAAGAACAGAAATCCAGGTTAGACCTGGAGAGTTAAGAGCACAGGAGGGAAATTGAATGACAGGTTTTGAAATAGCATGAACTGCCTTGGTGTCACAGACCAGCAGCCATCCAAGAGAAGAAAATCCGTAGCAGTTTTTCCTCTTTTTATAGTACCTTAAAAACTTTTTTTTTTTGTTATTTTTTGTTGGTGGGTGGAAAAGGGCCAAAAGTCATGCACTGTGCGGATTTATCTCTTTTTTGGAAAAACAGAAAAGCAAATATCCCCTGCTCCACCCAAATCATTGTTAGTGTTAAAAAAAAAAAAAGAAAGAGTCATTGAATATCACTGTGTCATCATGTTACCAAAATTAGCAGTGGATTCAGTTGAAGAATAGGAAGGAAGTATGGGCAGGACAGACTTTCTAGGGAAATGGACAAAACTGAGGCTCCCAACTCATATTTTCCATACAGTTGAATCTACGCTATCTTAGAACCATCTGCCTTTTAATGAAGCTCAACCCCCCTCTTCTACACATGAGAAAACAGAGACCTGGAGACAAAGAAATGACTTGCCCAAGGACACTGGCAACGTCACTGGAATAATAACCAGGATAAGTTCTTCCTTTTAAATTATTTTAGCAACATTATTACTACTTTCCTTATATACGAGCCAAGCAGACACTCCAATCTCTCCTTTAAAACAACCTATATGACAAAATAATTATTTTTTGCAGAGGATAAAATACCACAGTTCAGAAAAGCACTCTGATTGTTCAAGGGAATATTTGCCATCTTCCCGGTTTTGCTTCTTCATGGAATAACCTGGAATCTGGTCACTTGCCCAGTTGCTCTCTGGCCCATCCTCAAAAGCAAACAGGAGGGAATCATGTTCCCTCATCTGGCCCTCTTAGAAGGTGGATGGGCGCTTATGAAGTCCCTCCAAATACAGACCTTCCTGACCAGGGTAATTCTGGAGAGCGGGTTATTTCCAGAATCCCAAGTGAATGCATTTCATATAAGATGAAGTCCAGCTGCTTCTGATTTGCTTTAGAGCACAGAGCCACCGTCCCCTAGAAGAGCCCAAAGCGGACCCTCATCTCAATCTTGGGAAGCAGCAGAGCCGTGGTTAAGAGCAGGGAAGTGTCAGGAGGATTTGACTTCCAATCCAAGTGCTCTAGTTATGTGTAGTCAGACCACTGGTGACCTCAGCCTCAGTTTCCTTACTTACTACGTTGAAATAATAAGACCCATTTCCCTGTTGCTTTGAAAGGATCCAGTTGGTTACTAGAAGTGAATAGCAAAAAAAAAAAAAAAAAGAAGAAGAAGAAGTGAATAGCATAATATATTGGTGTTAGAAACATGAGAATCACTCCATGAAAGGTGATGTCTTGTGGACTGACCTGAGAATCCCAAACAGCAGCAGAAAGACATGTCAGTGTTCTTGCCTCCAGGCAGCCACCCTGAAGCCAGTTTCAAATCTTGGCTTCTCTGCCACCAGCTGAGGGAGCTTTTCCAATTTTCGCTCCCAGATTTTGCCACTTTAATAAATGCATCAGACCACAAGGTGGTGCTTCATTCTAAAGTTTGATATTAGGAGGTTTTGCCAACCACAAAAAGTGAATGGCAAAGCACATTCAACATCATTATCAACTGCCAACTGCTTAACCCTAATACAAATACCCAGGTGGGCTCCTGCCTTCCAAGGCTACCAACCAAGGAGCCCAGGCCACCTAGGAACACCCAGTCCTCTATACTTCTGTTCTTTGACTGAGAAGGAGGTGGAGAGAGCCCCAGCAAAGCTGAAGGCTTTCTGCGGTTCCTTTATCTATAGCATTATGTAAACTCCTGTCAAACTTATACATGTACTGTTTCACCCAATTTCTGTTACTCAGTCTCCTGGTGAGCAGACTCTGCTCCTAGTAGAGTTCAGTGATGAGGAAGAGAACAAGGGTGTCCCTGTGACATCTGCGTTAAGGGGGTGAAAAGTCAACTTCCCCCTTGTGGTCAAGTGACTGAAGCCTATGGCCAGAGGACAGATCGTGGAGCTCTGCGTGCAAAGCAGATGCCCACCATGCTTCACTTCCAGCCTGCAGACGTGCATGCCCCTGGGTCTCATTGAGCTGTCAGGAGACCAACAACAGTAATTGTGTTCTTTGGGTTAACTACCTCAGATTCGTAGGGTAGTCCAGGTTGTTTGAAGGACTGTGACACCTATTTTCGGCCTTTATTGAGAGCTAGGAGAGAATCAGCCATCCTGAGTACTAGTCCTGGCTTGCTCACTCCCTGGCTGCATGACTCTGAGCAATCCCATGAATTTTGTTTACCTGTGAATGGGTGGGGAAAGAAGGCAGGTAGACCAGATGGCTTCCAAGGTCTTCTTTACTACCAGCATTGTGTAAGTCAATCCCATTGTTCCAGAAGAGGTTCTGCATCAGCTAAGGCTTGGGCTATTGCAGAGGCTAGGAGGATTTTAGGGAGAATACCTAATTATATGGGGCAAAGACTGTTAGGGGGTCAGAGAAAGGCAGGAAGAGGACAGAGAGAGAAAGAGCTAGGCTGAAGAAACAAGAACTCGGATCCTATAAACTTGGGCTAAGACATGAAGGTGAAGTGAGAAGCTTTTTGTAAAAAATAGCCTCTATAAAGGGGGAAAAAAAGGAGTTGGGGGGAAGATAAAGAGTATTTTGGGATCCAGCCAAAGGATTAGCCCTAAGACTATTTTCTAGCTGATCCTCTGATAACAGCTTTCTAAAGCCTTGTGTAGACTTCCCTTCACCAAGTTCTTTGACCTTTTAATCCTTCTGAAAGTGACCTGCCCCCTCTTTCTACTAATGAGAACAGGACAAATAAAAGAAAGTTTGCCAGCAGTCATTCCAAGAACATTCTGTTGATTTTCTCATCGCTCTGAAGGCTGCACCCAACAACCTTTCATTATAAAATAACCAAAAGGCCTCTCCATGAGTCACAACGGCTGCAGTCCATAAACTGCACCACTATCTCATACCTCACAGCGTTTTCCTTTCGTCTATTAATATTTCGAGTAAAATAATCAATTAGGATCAATTAAGAATCAACTTTGTTTTAATAGATTCTGTTCCGTTTTAATGAAGAAACTCATAAATTCTTCTTCTAACAAGGAAAACACTAACACTTGGCGGAAGGCGAAGGGGATGAAAGATGAGCTTGACAGGACCAGGCTGCTTGGCTCAGAGAAAATACAAGGCAAGATTGCTACATTCCACAAGTTACTGATTTTGGAGGAGCACTGCATTTGTCCTTTCGAAATGATCTGACTCAGCTTCTTTGGTTCTTATGAACACTCTGGCCATATTGTTTGGGAGTCAGATGACCCGTCATTTATTTGATACTGGACATTTTCTTGTCTGTTGAAAAAATGAACTCAGTTACTGAAAATATGAACAGATTTCCCCTATGGGGATCTAGTCAAGATATATGTATTGTTGGAAATTATAATCATGTTACTAGAAGTGATATATATCTAAAATATATCTAAATATGCACTTAGATGTTACATTCTAATAGAATACATAAAAATATAGAAAACTGCTATCTCTTGGGGAAAATATCGAGATTTTACCCCTTCTTTTATTTACTCCAAGTGCTAATGAGTGCCTAATGAGTTTAAATTTATGGGTTGTTTGAAAATTGTTTTCATCCAAATTCATCACTGATGGGATCCCTGGGTGGCGCAGCGGTTTGGCGCCTGCCTTTGGCCCAGGGCGCGATCCTGGAGACCGAGGATCGAATCCCACATCAGGCTCCCAGTGCATGGAGCCTGTTTCTCCCTCTGCCTATGTCTCTGCCTCTCCTCTCTCTCTCTCTCTCTCTCTGTGACTATCATAAATAAATAAAAAATAAAAAATTAAAAAAAAAAACAAATTCATCACTGAACACATCAGACTTGTACAAAAGATAAAAGCTTCCCAAAAAGGAGTTACCATTGGTATGTGTCTTGAGTGACATTTCTGAGTAAAAACTAAAGGAATAAATCAAACAAGAATATTATTCCAAGAAAACAAGGTCAGAGTTACAGAGCTCATTTCCCTTCTGCTTAAGGAAATAAATGCGTAACTTTCACTTACAACTCTGCAGATAACCATGTGTTTTTTCTCACAAAGCTTGTCTAAGAAGCCACTGCAATAGTTTCATTTTGCTTCTGGTCAGCACACAATCCTGGAAGAATCTAGAAGGCAAATTATAGTTTGTTCTAGTAAAAGAAAAAAAATCATTTTTACTAGTCAGATTTGAACAGCAAACACGTACAGAAACTGCAAGAGTACACGCTTTGAATGGACTTCACCACATGATTTTCTCATCGGGTTTCAGATTTGTTGCAGTTCTTTTACATCAGTAATTTTATATTTTCCTATTATGTATGAATTCATCAAAGTGGGGTTCTGATAGATCACTGGCCTTTACCTTTAAAATACTGAGCAAAGGGGCACCTGGGTGGCTCAGTAAACATCTGCCTTTGGCCCAGGTCATGATGCCAGGGTCCTGGGATGGAGCCCCTCGTCGGGTTCCTTGCTTCTCCCTCTCCCCTGCTCCTTCTCCCACTCAGGCTCTCTCTCTCAAATAAATAAGCACAATCTTTTAAAAATAAAATAAAATGCCAAGCAAAGGATAGCACTTACGGTGACCCCTGCCACCCCCTTGGAATCTGCGATATTCAACCCCCCACTCCCAGCAGGAAGTCAGCGCTGCTGTGGAGGCAGGAGAGTCTAACTGGAGGACTAGAAGTTCACAGTAGCTTCTGGGCTGTTTAGTCTCATGGTTTTTCTGGCTATAAATCTACTTTTTATTAAAATATAATTACGCGTACATGGTGACAAAGCTCTTATTATGGCAAGCCATTTCTCACGCTAGGAAAGCTGCAGACAGATTGCTGGAGATGCAAGAAATTATGTTTCTCCACCTTAGGCCAGTTAGCTACTGTTCTGGTACTGTACCTCTCACAAATCATTTTCAAAAATCTCCTGGGTCTCCAAAAACTGCCTTGTTTCCTCTTCTCATCTTTTTGTCTGCCCTCTGCAACAGACCTCTGTTGCTTAATAGAAAGGAACAAATATAGGCAAATCTGCCTACTTGCTCAAATTTATTTGTAACCCCAAAATCAATACCCCTGCGCTTTCATGGTGATTCATGGACACGTGTAGAGCAGAGAAAAATGTGAGATATGGAAGCGCATGTTCCCAGCTGAATAAGACGATGTGCTGCCTTCTTGTTCCAGCACTTAAATAAGGTGTCTTTTTTGGCTATTTAATGTCACATTCTTTGCACATCTGTACTTTGTTTTTTGGATGATTTCACTGTTTAAAATGGCCCCCAAGCACAGTCCTAAAGTGTTGTCTACTGTACGTAAGAACAACAGGCTGTGATGTGGGGTGCCTGGGTGGCTCAGTTGGTTGAATGTCGGACTCTTGATTCCAGCTCAGGTCATGATCTCAGGGTTATGGGATGGAGCCCTGCATTGGGCTCCACTCAGGGTAGAGTCTGCGTCTTTCCCTCTTCCTCTGCCCTTCCCTCCTGCTCTCTCTCTTTCTCTCAAAAAAAAAAAATAAATAAAAAATAAATAAATAAATAAATAAATAAATAAATAAATAAATATTTTCTTTAAAAAAAGAAGGCTGTGATGTGCCTCCCAGAGAAGAATATATGTGTTCCATAAGCTTCATTTAGCCTGAGTTACAGTGCTGTTGGCCGTGAGTTCAACGTTAATGAATCAACATTATGTATTACATAAAGTGTCCTTCAACAAAAACACACATAAAATAAGGTTAGGTATTGATTGATTGATGGAAATGTGACCAGAGGCTTACAGGAACCCAACCTGTATTTCACTAATTCAATGTTCACAACAATTTCATAGAATGTAACCACCACCAATAATGAAAATAAGTATAACTACCATTGGTAGCTTTTCTGTTTCCTGAAATGCATATTCCTGTTTTTGGGGTTTTTTTTTTTGTTTTTTTTTTTGTTTGTTTGTTTGTTTTTTTTAGAAAGAAAACAAGAGACAGTTCAGAGAAGAGAAACATTTTATAAAGAGAAAATTAACCCTATAATAAAGAGTAAGGGCAATGGGGGTTTGTTGAGTTTACAGAAGAGATATGGCTTTTTTTTTTTTTTAAGATTTTATGTATTTATTTGAGAGAGAGATTAGCACTAGCAGGGGGAGGAGCAGAGAGAGAGGGAGAAACTTACTTCCCACTGAGCAGGGAACTGGACACAGGACTTGATCCCAGGACCCCAGGATCATGACCTGAGCCAAAGGCAAATGCTTAACCAACTGAGCCACCCAGGTGCCCCCAAAAGAGATATGTTTAAGACCCTTTCTGGCCTCCATTCCAAAGAAGGGAGAGATGGTCCTACATTAAAGCAGATAAGATTGCGTTTGAATACAGTGGAACATTTTACTGGAACTTTGGAACATGAAGCTCCATTCCTAGGGAACATCAAGAAGAGACAACTGACATTAGTTCTCCAAATTGCTAAGCTGAAATTGAGAGATCCAAATCAGGCACGCAGCCTGGCTCTCTACAGCTCTGGGATCCTACAAACAGCACCCATTTGCAAGGGGCCCCACAAGGCTGAAAGGCTAGATCTGCGATTATGGAATGTTTTTCCCCAGGACAGAGTTATCTAGTCAGAATAAACCCATGTGAGGATTAAAGCTAGGCCACTGGCCATATTCTGACCAATATTTTCCAGACTGCATTTCCTGGAAATTGAGAATTTATTTCACAAATGTGTGTATGTGGTGGTGATGGTGGTAGGAGGTAGTCAGGGAAGAAAAGAGTGTGTGTGTGTGTGTGTGTGTGTGTGAAATTAGTGATTTGTCTTTTTTATAATCACACTTCATTTTTGCGGATGGACATATTACTCAGCATTTTGCTCTTTTTTCTGTGATCCAAGCATGTGGCGTTCATAATCACACAGATGTGGGTTTGAAACTGTGTGGTCTCAGGTTAACCTCCTTTACCTTTAGTTTTCTCATCTGCAAAATAGAGATGACCATGTCTGCCTTGTAGGGTGTTTACTTTCTTAATTGAGATATAATTGACACATCATATTATTTTAGTTTCCGGTATACAACGTAGTGATTGGACAATTGTACACATTGTAAAATGGTCATCACCGTGAGTCTAGTTACCGTCTGTCACCTTGCAAAGAGAACTCCAGTATCACTGACCAGTGATCCCATGCTGTGTGTTACGTCTCCAGGACTTAATTTATTTTACAATTGGAAGTTTGCACTTAATCTCCTTCTTTCATTTCACCCCCACTCCCCCAAAATCCTCCTCCCCTGTGGCAGCCACTAATCTCACGGGGTTGCCTAGAAGATTCTGTCTCTAGTTCAAGTGGCTGTCCCACTCTTCCTGCTATTGCTTGCTCACCGCCCCCCCCCCCCCATGGAATCATCCTCTCACCACTAAACTGTAAGCTCCCCCAGGGTAGGTGACCTATCACAGCAAGCCTCTCACATAAGCAGGAGCTCAAGAAAGGTCTGTTGAGTTAACTGTTGGACAGCCAATCCAAGGTTACAATTCTTCAAAAACTCATCAATACCCACATAATGAAGTTCAAATCCTTGGAGGAAGAGAAAGCTGTTTGTGAGTCTGCCCCTGCTTACAGATCTAGCTGGCACTTGTCCTCTGCTCCCCTCCCAGAGCCACAGGGCTCCTGCATAGGCTGCTCCCAGATGAAGGGGGAGGCATGGTGCACAGTAGAAAGACCTAGTCATCCTGGAAGAAAATCTCTTTATCCGAATTGGCTGGCTTAAGGAGGGGCCACCCATTTGCAACATATCCCCCTTGGAATGACACTGTTTTATAGTTTGCACAAAAGCCCATGGCCAGAAGAGCATCTCTGAGCCCCAGTCGGGAGATTCCCTCCTGATGCACCCAGCGGTCTGGCCTCTCAGCCTTTGAAGGATTTCCCCTGTGGGTTTCAGCTTAAATATGGCTTCTTCCCCAAATCCTGCCCCCAGGATTGTGTTAATAATCCCTCAGCACTGCATGCTTGTTGCTCTTCGAGCATTCGTTCATTTACTCACAGATTTAGCGAGTGAGCCTCTAGCAGCCAACTAGGTGGACACAGGTCCTATCTCCTCGAGCCAGCAACATCTCAGGAAAAGTAGTCATTCAACACATCACCACACAGAAGTGTTTTGCTTTTAATTTTGCAGGAGACTATGGCACTAGAGGAGGCTGTGAAGGAGAAGACAAACATGCATACGAATCACACTTTCCATGCTGAACAGTTACTGGCCTGATTCCTTGCCAGTGTCCCCACTTGACCAGAGAGTGTTTGACCCTAAATCTGTTTTTCTCAAAGCTGAAGCCCCAGAGTTGAGCATGACACACCGAATATGCCCTAAGTGAAAGACAGATGTTCCCATCATGGAAACTGCTGCTTGGAGGGCTCTGCATTTGCTCACTTGTGACAATATGCAGTTTTGAGTATCTCTGTGCACAATTTTCTTTCTTTTCTTTTCTTTTTCTTTTTTTCTTCTTTTTTTTTTTTTTTTGCCTGAAAGGACAGAAATAAATGGTGTGAGTATGGGAAAAATCTTGTGAAGCTTAGTGTATTTGCTTTTAGGACATCTGACCCTGCACCCCCAATCACACCCCAGGGCCCAAGCACCTTTTCTCTTTCTCTCCCTCCTTAGAGGGAAACTCTGGGCTGTCACCATTTATGCTTTGCCTGAAGCTCATTCATTCCAATGTGTCAACTCTCCCCGGTAGCTACCTTTTAGTCTTCTTTTCAATGTCGAGCAAGAAAGCTTGAAAGTGTTCTGGAACAGGCATTTCAGATCATTGTGAAAAGTTATGGGGAACAGAGATCCAAGCTCCACCACCAATGCGTGAACACTATAGCCACACGTATTTACATTATCATTTTGTGAAAAGACGTACATTATGTTATGTGTTTTCTTTTGCATGAGTCACATTCTACAAATTATACGACTTTTCAACCAAATGACTTCCAGAGTCCGGAAGGCCAATTTGGGTTAGTAGGGTTTAAGGTAACACTGCTGTGGATGCTTGGGAGTCCCGGATTGAATGAAGATCCTGAGTAAGAACTGAGTTAGGGCAGCCTGGGTGGCTCAGTGGTTTAGTGCCACCTTTGGCTCAGGGTGTGATTCTGGGGACCCGGGATCGGGTCCCGCATCGGGCTCCCTGCATGGAGCCTGCTTCTTCCTCTGTCTGTGTCTCTGCCTCTCTCTCTGTGTGTCTCTCATGAATAAATAAATAAAATTTAAAATCAAAAAAAAAAAAGAACTGAGTTAGCTCCTCAGAGTGAGCTCTACTCTGGCCTCTCCTCTCGTTCTCAAGCACTCAGGCTCCAGGGCTCAGGTCTCTGCACCCTCCACTCTGTTCTGTCCACATCTGAATTGTGCCTTTGCTTTACAATGTGGCATGTGTGCCACATGCCCCAAGACAGTACTTCTAGATTCCCTGATCCCTGAGGAACACAGCCTCTGGGGGATGATGGATTGCGTGTGTGTGTGTGTGTGTGTGTGTGTGTGTGTGGTGGGGAGCCATGTGCAAGAAGGCTGGTGTAGTGGGAAGGTATGAGTGAATGGAAGAGCGTTATGGGGGAGAGCATTTTGGAATGAGAACGTGAGCACCTGTGTGCCAGTGGGTGCTCCTACAATCAGTAAAGGTTTTGGACGTTGGTGCCAATTATAGACATCAAAGAAGGGGTAAAAAAGAGAATATAGAGTATTTATTGGCATAAAGGATCCCCTTATCATGTGTGCCTACTGTGTGTCAGAGACTTTGTACTATAAGTTGTACCTGATTCAATATAGTAACATCTGTACCTATTCATGGAACATATAGATCAATAAACAGACCAGAATTAAACACAGGAAAACATGACAGGAACATGTTTCTTCCAGTCAACACCAGCTTCTGAACAGGAACATTTAGCCACAGTGGAGAAGTGCAAACTTCTGTTTGGTCTTGTTTGCTGGGGTGATGATCTCTCTGGAGGGCTTTTCTGGGATGTGTGGATTCCTCTTTTCCCCCTGTACCCTCAATCTCTACTCCCTCCTCTCTGATGCTTATAAAGGTGAGAGTCAGCCAGCCAGGAACAACTCCGAGCAATGGGTAACTTCCAGGGGAAGGAGCCATTTGTGAAAGTATCAGATAGCGAGAGGGCTCAGAGATCAAATCCAGCTCTAGGGAAGAAGGGCAAAGAGAGCCAGAGATACACTTATTTGCTATTTTTAGTAGCAGGATGGAAAAACCATTGTGGAAGTCTACCACAATGAAAGAAGGCTGCAGCCTGTAGAAAAAATATTTTTACATGTATGAGTCAGGGATCATACATTTACGAAAACATACTTACACAAATAAGATATAAAAAGAGATACAAGATTGATTCGTGCAAATATAATGCTAACGCGTTCCTTATGAAACTCTTCAGAATTTATGCTGAAATAGCATGCAGCACGATCCATTTAGTTGCAGAGTGCTGACTGTGTGCAGGGAGTTGGGGAATCAGGATTAGCCAAGCCAAGCATGGGGTCATGCCCTCATGGTCCTGACAGCTTCCTGGGCCAGCCGGCCGTCACCCAGCAGAAAGTGTGAGCCTGCACCTCCGATGGAGAGTTCCAGATACCAGGCCAGCATCTCAGAGGTTGACCTGCCCTCTTGGGATGGATTTTTAAAAAAGCATCAGGGAAATCTGTGTCTCGGCTCTTCGTTTTTGTTTTGTTTTGTTTTGTTTTGTTTTTTGTTTTTGTTTTGTTTTTAAGTTGGCTCTCACAGCCACAAGTCTGCCAGGTGAAACAAGCAAGTTGGAAATTCAGAATAAGTGCTGGCTTCTGCTTCTTACACAGCATTAGAATTTTAAATATGTAAGATGTGACTTGTGTATTTTGCTTTTTCTTATAACTTTATAATGCTTAAAATTTTTTTTAAATTTTTAAATTAAAGTAAATTTTTTTAATCATTTACTTACCCACTCAATGAGCTCTAGACATGTGGATCATCCTGTGCCATATTCAGAGCACAGAGGCTAGGTGGAGACACCAGGTAACAAGGGAACATATGAATAAATATATAGCTACAACTGTAGTGAGAGTTTCTCTGTGGGTCAGTGTTCTTCATTATAGACACAGGGTCCATGCTAAACAAGGTAAGCAGAAAGGGATGTATTCAGAGAGACAGCAGGCTTTGCATTGTAAAGTGGCCTAAAGAAACAGACTCTAGGTGAAAATTCCAATGTCAATGTCCCAAACCATCCCGTTGTGCCACAACTAAGCCATGAAGGTAGGTGCCACCTTTGCCAAGGTGAGAATCACATCTCCTCTTCCAGGATCCCAGCCAGTCTAATGAACTCTGTCCATCTCTCTCTGCTCATTTAGCTACACGTCAAAGCCACCTCCCTCATGTATGTGTGATAGGAAGGACTCCACTACTTCTAGAACTCAGCTTCAAGGGAGCCTGGGAAAGGCGGTTTTGGTCATAGTCCATGTCTTATAGAAGGAGATTGGAACGCACATTGAGGCAACCCACCAGTCAGCCATAGTCCCCAAGGGAAAGAGTAGAGAGCTATCAGAAGGGAGAGCATGAGACATCTTCTGTGTTGGCTGGGTAATAAAGCAAGGCTGTTCTGAGGAAGTTGCTTGTAAAGTGGATGTAGAAGAAGAACTAGGATTTAGTCAGTGTGCGCAAAGGCCCTGAGGTAGGAATTTGGTAGTGACAGCAAACAAGTAAAGTAAAGGAGAATGAGGGTGAGGCCACAGAGCAAGGCCTGAGAGCTTTTAGAGAGACAGTTGTGCAGGGCTTGGTGGCCCTTTGTACTTTATTCCACTTGCAGTGGGAAGCCCTGGGGGCCCCTAAAGGGGAGTTGTGCTCATGCATTTCATTAACACATAGCATTAATAAACATGTTGTGATTTATTGTTAATGCTCTCTGCTGCAAGAAATTAAATATCTGACTAAAAGGGCCTTAGACGTGTTTATTTTTATTACCTAACAAGAAACCTTGAGAGAGGCAATTTCAAGATTTGTTCAGTTGCTGAGTGATGTCCAGGATCTGGGTCAGCTTCTTCATGATCCTTGGGGCTGTTTCCGCCTGCTCACAAGACAGCGGCTATAGTTCCAAGCATCACATGCTTCCTCCATGGAAGGAGAAAACCTCTCCCTGGAAATTAGGAAAAGAAAGATATTTTCCCAAATCCCTCTAGTTCCTGTGGCTACTGCTGGGTGCCACTGCTCTACTGAGCTGCAAAATACATGAGAAAAATGATTAGCTGACATTTTCAGATGCTGCAGTGGGAGGCAACCCCTGCCAAGAATGGTGAGGTAGGAGTGGCTTTTGATAGGAAGCTGAGAAAAAGGCCAGGGCTGTATTTTATTACGACACGTACTCCACACACACGCACTCGGGTCATCCAAGAGAATGAGTATGGCAGGTGAGAGACGCCAAGAGCAAGAGTGATGTTCGCCTAGACCTGCCTGGCTAGACAACACTAGAAACTCCCCAAGGCGTAGAATGGGATGGTTAAAACAAATAAATCCACGCTTGTGTAAATCAATCATTTTTTCTTGTGTAATTGTGCCTCCTAGAAACTTTGTTTATAAATTTATCCATAAGCATATTCATAGGGTGATATCAGCCAGGGAGGCAGTGCTTGCAATACGCTATGCCTGGACAGTAGACGCAGGCTCCCTGCACCCCTGGGCCCACCTCTGGCTTATGGAGGATTTCCTTTGGTCGACCAGATGGCTGTTTGACGATTTGCATACATGTGAGTGTGCAAATCTTCTTCCCCCCATCTGACAGGGCCAGCGTGAGGGGAGTCTACCTGGACGGCTGTGCTCTTGGCAGTTGGGGTTTATTAAAGATGGATCTTTTCTCTCCATCTGACGAGGAATAACATTTTACCCTCCTTTTCCATCACCATTCTTTCATCGTCTCAAAAGAGTTCCAAATTTCTCCCTCCCCCGTGGCAGGGGCTCGGTCATATTTTCCAGTTGTTGTCTGCACAAGGGGAAAGGCAGGCGGGCGCACCCCCAGATTTACATTATTTTCTGTTTCTTTCTCATGCTCATTGGAAATATGCTAATGACCCTGCCAGACCCCAAGGCGATGACAAATCTGGAATGCCGTTCTCTTGCCCATTATGATGGAGTGGTGAATAGTCATCTCCCTCTTTTGTTCTCATCACAGACTATTCCCAACTCCCTCCACCGAATCCCTGCTCGGGCTGCAAAGCTTCCAGCTGTCTCTGCATCTGACAGTGTAGTTCTGGGGCTCTGACTGCAAGGCGGGCTCCTCTCCTCGTTTAGCAGGGCAGACACCATTGGAGAGATTGGTTTGCGAAATACCCAGCTGGAGGTGCAGAGGGAAGAGGTGGGGGTGGGGAGGATGGAGGAGGAGGGATGAGAATTTCTCTAAAACCCTTCAGCTAAATTAAAGATAAAAATTGTAGGGTCTCATGCTATGTTTTTAATGTCGCAAAAGGAGTGTTAGTCTCCTGCTCCCTCCCCTGCTCACTGCCCCGCAACTTGCAGCATTCAAGTTAAAACCCAACCTGCTGCCCAGCAACACCCCCCCCCCCATTCTGAAGGCTCCTGTGGATGATGAAATGTGGGTAGGAGGGAGGGGAAAGTGAAGCGAACAGAGAAGGAAGACGGAAATGGGCTGAGAGAAAAATAGTAGATATGTCCCTGGAAGTAAGTGATGGATGCAGCTGCTAGGGAGTGAGGATTAGTCCAGGTACTAGAACCCCCTTGTCCTGTACATTTGAGAGCCTGGAAGTATCACTGGCACCAAACTCTGATGGATGGGTGGTGATCAAGAAAGTCAGCATCCCTGCTCTCCTGGAATGGCATTCTAGCCAAGGAGACCAAGATTAACAAATAAACAAGTGCACGACATCACATCAGAAACTGATAAGTATTACTACTTATTTATTTATTTTATTTATTTTAGAGTGTGTGCATGTGCATGATGGAGGAAAGGCAGAGAGAGAGGAGACAAAGAGAATCCCAAGCAGAATCCACTCTGAGCACGGAACCGGACAGGGGGCTCCATCCCATGACCTAATGGAAATCCAGAGTTGGATGCTTAGGCAACTGAGCCACCCCAGCGCCCCAGGAACTGCTGCATTATTAAGAGAAACAAAGCAGAGTAAAGATGCAGAATGAGGGGAGGGAGGCAGGCGATAAAGATCTCTCTAAGGAGGTGATATTTGAGGAGAAAATTCAAGGAAATGAGAGTAAGGGACTCAGAGCTAGCTGGAAAAGAGCACACCAGGCCTGGAAGAATGGAGAGAAGAGACCTAGAGGCAGAAGCAGGCTGAGTAAAGGGAGGGGTGGTGCAGATGGCCAGGGAGCAGACAGGTGGAGAAGGAAGTCAGGCCCTGCTCTAAGTGTGCTGAGGAGCTGCTGGGAATGTTCAGCTGGATGAAGCTTTGATTTTTATTTTGAAAAGATTTCTGCGACTGGGCAAGAATGGGCTCAAATTAACCAGCTGGTGAGGACGTAGAGGAACTAGAGTCTCCATGTCTCACACGGGAGTGTGAATTGGTAAAGTCACGTTGGAAAGTCAACTGACAGTGTCTGCTAAAGCTGGACACATACAGGTTTAACCAAACAGTTCCACTCCCAGGGATCCCCCCACTCCTGTGTATTTAACCAAAAGAAGGAAAATGGTTCTGGCCTCCAAAAGCCATTGCACAAGAGCCCCAAACTGGAAAAGGCACATTTATGAACAATAGCACCAAACTGGAAACAACGTCCGTTCGCTGCAGAATTGGTAAATAAATTGTGAAATACTCACGCGATGACTGTAACACAGCAGAGAAAAACAACAAGAACAGGTGACTTGTTCTTGGTCCTGTCTAAATGCATCCTCTCTTCCGGGACACTGTATCCTCCTGTCTGACCCACCTGAAGGGTTTCTACTCTAATTTTTCCCCCCATATCATATCAAAAAGAGAGATCAAGGATGACTCCTAAGGCTTGTGGCCTGGGAAACGGTGGAGGGGAATGTCAACTGTGGATATAGTCAAGACGGGAGAGATGGTTGGGATGGGCGGGAGGGTGCAGTGCACATTTTTTTTTCATGCTCATGTGAGATCCAAGCTGAGACATTAACAGTGGCACAGATCAGGGTCACACAAAGGGACTATAGACCTACTTTGGGGAGTTAGCAGCACATCCATGGTATTCAAAGCCGCGGGTTAGATGAGATCTCCCTGGGGGCTGACTGCAGAGAGAGCGGAAGCAAGGTCTGAACACAGTCATGCTCAACAGGCAGAAAGGAAAAGAGGATCCAGAAAGGAGACTGAGAAGGAGGCACAGCAAGCGAGCTGACCCCTGAGATCCACACTGTACACCTGGATCAGCAGCACAGCCATTTCCTCTGCCAACATTGGTTGGTTCAACTGCTGCTGGAGGCCGAGTGCTGACCTTTGGATTTGGTAACGTGGAGATCACCCATGGTTTGACGATGGTGGTTTCATCGAGTGGGTACAGAGGAGTGAAAAAGTGGAGACCATCAGCTTACATAACTCCTTGAGGAGTTTACTATAAAGGAGAAGGGAGACAAGAATTAGAGAAATTTCTTTTTATTATAAGACATCTGTCTTATAATGAGGAAGAACTGGCAGAGAAGAAGGAAATGGTGATGTGACATGAGGGGGAAATCAGAGTAGAAACCCTTCAGGTGGGTCAGACATGTGGATAGAGTGTCCCGGAAGAGAGGATGCATTTAGACAGGACCACGAACAGGTCACCTGTTCTGGCAGGTGGGCAGACAGCATGCGTGGACATGGGGGCAGGTAGGCTGACTTTTGGGGGCCTCTGGACATGGTTCTGTTGAACACACACATATCTTGTACGGACCATTGTGCCCTTTGCTAAAAACTCAAGCTTCCTACAAAGGAAATAGTTGCATGCGTACATGATTTTATGGCTGTCAGCTGCTTGCCCCATGCCTATGGTTTTAAATGTCCAATGAAAGCATCTGGAACCAGGAGAGAACAGTCATATGATGCATGAAAGATCTCGCTGGATTCTTCGTGCTGACTACAGCATCCATTCTTACAAAAGGTAGGGAAAATGACCCACAGGAACATTGCGGAGTGGGGCTGGGGGTGGGGGATAGGGGGTGGGAGGTGAACTTTTGTAAGAAATACACTTTCAAAGACACATGTACCCAAAAAATAGTCAGAGGGAGATACACAAGGCAGTTAATGATTTTCATTCAAGAGCCCTGATCTCCAAATGAGGATGAAGTTTTTTGTTTTGTTTTTTTTTTAATTGAAAATTCTACTAATCATGTAGTTGGAAACCTGTAGAAGACCCGTTTCCCCTCTGGAGCTCGAGTCTCCTAACCCTGGTGTCATTGTCAAATTTGGAGACATTGACATTTTCACCTCACAGGAAACCCAGTACCTGGCACACAGGTAAGCACTGGGTCAGAGGGCCTGTGAAGGGGCAGGTAGGAGCTGCTTTGAAAATGTGAAAAGCCTCTTTTGCTCACCACCAGCAGCTTCTCAACACGAGGGCTTCTGGAGGCAGACTGCTTGCTGAGTTTGCTCTACCTGTGGTCACACAAGGCACCTTTCGAAACACCAGAGACGCACGGGGGCAGGGGTGGATATACAAAATGCCTGAGTTTCTAGTTCCTTGAAAAATTTGAAAGCTTTTGAAATTCATCTCCATGCTTTATAGTAGCATCATCTGTAAGATGAAAAACGTCAACTGATTTAGAAGGTCCTTTAGCTTTAAAAAAAAAAAAATCCTGAATTTCTGGGGCACCTGGGTGGCTCAGTCAGTTAAACAACTGACTCATGATTTTTGGCTCAGGTCATGATCTCAGGGTCCTGTATCAAATCCCACAATGCGCTTGAGCTCAGCGTGGAGTCAGCTTGTCCATCTCCCTCTGCTCCTTCCCCTACTTGCTCTCTCTCTCTTTCAAAGAAATAAATAAAATCTTCAAAAATAAATTTAAAACAATTTAAAAATGCTGAATTCTAAAAATCCAACTGGAGACATCATTAATGAATAACCCAGGAAACTGATATACTGTACATGTGGATATATAAAGATGTAAGTATAGCCTCATAATATAGGGTAGCATGTGATTATTAAATTAATGATATACCTATAAGTACCCGAGAATAGGTTTTA